GACACCCCACAGTCACACACGGCAGTGTCCCTGCAGCTCCTGGGGACACCCCACGGTCACACACAGCAGTGTCCCTGCTGGGCCTGGGGACACCCCACAGTCACACATGGCAGTGTCCCTGCAGCTCCTGGGGACACCCCACAGTCACACACGGCAGTGTCCCTGCAGCTCCTGGGGACACCCCACGGTCACACACGGCAGTGTCCCTGCTGGGCCTCAGGTCTCCCAAGGCATAAAGTATTTTATGTCAACCTGAGTCAGATTTTACTCTTTTTGAACTCATCCTTATACTCAGTGAGGTAGACCCTGAGCGTACAGAGGAGTTTTCAGTGAGTGAGTAAAATATTCCTAGTAAAAACCAGCAGAGTAGGAGGGTAAAGGGTGACTTGGACATAGGAGGTCCAAGTGGGCCTCCCCAGCAGGAGCATGTCAGTGAGGCCCCAAGAAGCCAGAGGACAGGTGCAGAGGCCTTGAAGCAGGGCTGGTCAGTGAATACCTTAGTTTTCTCTTAAACACTGCAAAAGTTACGACGTGTCATGATGGTACGGAAGGGGCAGGCAGAGCCCGCGTTCTGAGCAGAAACCCACGTGTCGTGCTCCCTGTTGTGTTTCTAGGGGGCCTGACCCACAGTAAATGCCTAACAAGATTTGTTAAATATTCTAAAACTGAATTTTTGTGATTGTTTAGAGAAATAAGGGAAATAACCTGAATGGTTCTAAATTTCTTACAGATTGAATTTTTTTATAAAGGAGTATTTTAGAAAAATCAGAAAATACAGATCAGCCAGTAAATACATGATTAAACCCATAATTCCATCTACCTAGGAATAATCACCATTAATTCCTTGATGTAAAAATATCTAAAACACAAAAAGCTATAACGCTCAGTCCCAAATACTGTACCTATAAATGTTTAAAGGCATTGGAAATTTGAGTTTTCCCTTTGTTGCAGAAATACCAACATATGTGAAATCGGGTAGTGGGCACCCTTGTTTTCAGTTGATGTGTTGTTTTCCCCAAGGATTGTTTGTCCCGGTCACTGAGTGGGCCTGCAGTTTGAGCCACTGTTCTCCAGAGCAGCCCTGTTAGGAAAAGGGAAGAGTCTCCGCATGTGCATGATGCGTCCTCGCCTAATGGAGGGACGCTGTCCAGACAAGGAGCAGAGCCTTGCCCGTGCAGTCACGGCCGTGTTCCTGGGCTCAGTGTGGCAGGGCCCACGTGCCACTTTCAGAAGGGTCCCCTGGTCTTTGGGGGAAGGCTGAGTTACATGGCGGACAGGTTTTGTGACTGCAGAATACAATGTATCCACTACATGAGATTTTAACGCTACGTGGAGATAAATTAGGGGTTTGTCTTTACTTGGCAAGAATGTTTTCCATTGATGGCACTCTGAATGTGCCCTCATCCCGCCCCAAGCATCCCTCCCGACTTGTACAGTTTGATACTATGGGCCATTCTCCACCGTGGAGTCTTGGACGCCTTTATGTTCTTGTACCACGACTCCTGCCGTTCGCAGCCTGAAGTGGACCTCCACCATCCTCACGTGCCACACTCCTGCTCCTTCTTCCAGGTCCCTGTGAGTCCTGGGGCTGGAGGTATTTTCCTTGCTTTGAATTCCCGTGGTACTTCATCCCTCACTTCACACTTTCTGCCACTGCTTGCCATTGTTTCTGTAGACATTCATGACCCCCACTCGGGGAAGGACTGTCAGAGAACCCAGGACAGCACCTCCCACAGCTGCGTCAACCTCATGAACGTACCACAGTTCGTATTCCTTTAGCTGCAGGTACAGCTCAATTTGGAGAAAGCAGGCACACTTTTTTGTTGAGTTCAGCCTCCCGTGGGAAGTAAGTCATAGCAGCAATGAATTTTCTCCCAAATGAGCCCACGGTGTGAATCTCCATCACTTGTAGCTCTTCCTGGTCAGTGAGAATCAAGGCTTTGCTGCCCATTGTTAGCTTAGGTGGCTGGTCCAGGGTCTGCATTTGAGAAAAAAGACATTTACCCTCAAAACAGAAGTATTCTCTGACAAGAGGATTGGGCCATGTGGTTCTAGGTAGCGTCTGGTAGGATCTCCCCACAGCTCACTGAGGGTAAGTTGGTTGTTCTGAGATGGAAGAGACTTAACCTCAGAGTAGTTCAGAGGACTTCCCGGTTGACCAAGCAGGGAAGTAGACAGAATCTTCCCTGCTCGTGGACCACATAATGTAAGCAGAGATGACTGTGTACGCAGAGGAACCTGTCTGGTTTTTAGCTGTTTCCTTTTCTCTAGCATTTTAGATCAGACCTGCTATTTTATACATCCTACACTGAGCAACCCAAGACCTGTGTCTCTGTGGGTGGGACGTTGGAGGTGTTCTCCACTCCGTGGCCGTGGGTGGGAGGAGGTTGGGGGTGTTCTCCACTCCGTGGCCATGGTTGGGAGGTTGGGGGCATTCTCTGTTCTGTGGCCAGGTGGGAGGAGGTTGGGGATGTTCTCTGCTCCGTGGCCGTGGGTGGGAGGTTGGGGGCGTTCTCCGCTCTGTGTTCATGGATGGGGAGAGGTTGGGGGCGTTGTCCGCTCCGTGGCCGTGGGTGGGGGGAGGTTGGGGTGTTCTCCGCTCGGTGGCCGTGGATGGGAGGTTGGTGTGTGGGAGGTTGGGGGCGTTCTCCGCTGTGGCCATGGGTGGGAGGTTAGTGTGTGGGAGGTTGGGGGCATTCTCAGTTCTGTGGCTGTGGCTGGGAGGTTGGTGGGTGGGAGGTTGGGGGCGTTCTCCACTCCGTGGCCGTGGGTGGGAGGAGGTTGGGGCGTTCTCTGCTCCATGGCCATGGGTGGGGGGAGGTTGGGGGCGTTCTCCGCTCTGTGGCCGTGGGCGGGAGGTTGGTGGGTGGGAGGTTGGGGGCATTCTCTGCTCCGTGGCCGCGGGTGGGAGGAGGTTGGGGGCGTTCTC